ATATATATATTCTTAATTTTCTGTCATGTCAATTTATACCAATATTTCTTGCTTTCTCTCTTTTGTGAAATTTTCTGGTCAATCCTTTCAATCTCCTTCAATAGCCTTAATTCTTTTCTTATTTCATCCCAGCACCCTGACCTGGAGAAACCTCAGCATGAATTGAATGTAGTGTCCATTTCTATCCCTATGGATACACTATGGTAGTTTTGTGCAGCTGAATACACAACTAGGTAGATTGATGTCAGTGTAAATATTTCATTGCCAATAACCTGAACTCCTCTTATGATTCTGCCCAACAGATCTTTTCTGTTTCATATCTCAACTCTTTATGCCATTATCTATTGCTATGCTTTCAAATATTTTTAGTTATCTTCATCTCTAATCTTCTCCCTCTCTTTCTAGATATGCTTGTCTCCTGCATTATAAAGAAGCTGAAGCCATCTGTTGAGAAATCTCTCCATTTCCTTCCACAGTTCAGAATAATCCTCCCTTTCCATCTATTCTTTTTCCCTAATTTATATTAAATTGGTAATAGATCCCTTTTTAAAACTAAGGTTAATTTCTTGAGCATGGATCCCACTCTTTTTTATTTTGCTAATAATGGACTTTGATCTCATGAGTATTGAATTTATATTTACCGTAATTCAACAAATCCTGATCTACTAGTTCTTACCCGTCAGTATTTAAAGTCTCCCTTTACCTCATAAAGTGCTAGTTACTCTTTTACACTTACATTTATTGAGAGCATGATCATACTCCCTCCATTTCCTCACTCCCATGCACTGTGAGTCCATAGTAAGCTGACTTTCCATCACACAGCCCTATCTATTTTACCTTTTATAATGGATTCTCTGTCAATACCTGCTACCTTACTTAGATGTCCCCCACATTCTTTCTTTGGGAAGGCCTCTTTTTTTCTTACCAGATCTTTAATAGGTATTTAATCAAGGTATTTAGGAATCTAAGAATTCTCTTCCAGGAAATATACCCCTCAGAGATTTTCAGAGCATAGTCAGGGTCATATGTTTATTCTCTAAGGTCTCACTTTTTATGCTTCACAATTATTTGACCTCATCCCTATAGGGAGTACAGAAGAAATGTTTTCTTCCAGTTACTTCTGACAGCATATTGGGATAGTCGCTTTAAACACTTATAATTATAATTTAGATAATTAGTGCTGAGAAAAAATGTTTAGAGATTTTTCTTGGAGGCACTGTCATTGATGCAAAAAGTAACATAATAATACACACATAATAATCACAGCTCTAGAGAGATGAGGTCAGGAAAACCAAAACTATAACAGGGTTCAGCTTTTCCCTCCCACAACAAATCAAGTAAACATTGGGTCCAGCATCCTGGAACAAAGGTTACTCAAGTGAGTGGAGTTTTATTTTGGACTTAGAAATTGTCTGGGAAAAAAAGAAGTGACTAGTTGAAAATGGGAATCTACACAAGGTCTGGATAGTAACACCTTTTCGTGAGAATATACAAGAGTCCCTGAGAGAACCCCGGTGAAGGACTGTTCTCTGATCCTGCAGAGGTTCTCTCCCTCTCATCCATGTGCCTATAGTGTCATCTCCAGTCTTCCTCTGCATTAGTTCTGTCCTAATTTTCACCTGCATCCTTTGATTAAACCTTCTTGGTCTGAGATTCCCTAAGCATGGGGTCAAGATGAATTAAATGTGTAATAGAGCAAATTATAGGCCTGGTGCACAGACTATCTTAAATAAATGTTTATGTCTTTTGTTTCCACTGGACCTCGTCTGGGTGAGACTAAATTTGGGAAATTAGTTTACTCTGAAAACTTCTATGTGTCCACTGTATGAAGATGTAAAGACATTGTCTGAATTTTCATCAGAATTGGTACATTAGGGAATTACATTATTGTAAATTTTGATCTTCAGATCAAAATAATACACCTTGAAATAAATGCCAAACCCAATTACAGAAGATGCATGTTTACCAGTGAATATTCTCACAGCTGAATAGTCTCTCATTCCAAATAGCATACTTTGGTCCAAAACTTGGTTCTGAGATGTTATATTGGTCTCACAATCAGGCATCTGATGTGGATCCTGTCTTCTGTTCTGTTTCAGAGGAACATAAAAATCTTGAAAGCAAATATGACAGATCAGGACAGTGGTCAGCACAGGGTCAGTGCTCACGAGGATTTAATAATTTAATGAAATCTTGATAAACCTCAAGGTAAATAGACTTGAGGGAGGCCTCGCCACACTTTTTGCTCAAGCACAGAGACTGTACGGGATTCATTATCAGCCACGGTACTCTCTTGGTCAGTTGCACCTCTGCTACTGTTTCTTTCTGTGTGTGGGTGTCTGGCTCCTGCTTCTTTTGATGATTTCTTTTTCAGCCCTGAAATTTATTTGTCTGTAAGATTTGATTTGGCAGTCCAACTTTATACTTTCCAAATCACTCACCAGTTTCAGTCTCTTACACTGAACAGTTATTTTCTCATTTGTTGAATTTCCTATTTATAATATTTTTCTGTGCACTTCGTTCTAAGCCATTGTGTTTGATTGTTCTTATATGTACTGTATACTTTATTTCTACTGAAGTATAGTCAGTTACATACAATGTGTCAATTTCTAGTGTACAGCATAATGTTTCCTATGTAAATACATATACATACATATATTATTTTCATACTCTTTTTCATTATAGGTTACTACAAGATATTGAATAAGTTCCTTGTACTATACAGAAGAAATTTGTTTTTTATCTATTTTATATATAATAGTTAATATTTGCAAATCTTGAACTCTCAATTTATCCCTTCCCAGCCCTTTGACCCCTGGTAACCATAGTTTACTTATTGTGTCTGTGAGTCTGTTTCTGTTTTGTAGATAAGTTCATTAGTGTCTTCTTTTTCCTTTTAGATTTCACATATGATTGATATCATATGGTGTTTTTCTTTCTCTTTCTGGCTTACTTAGAATGACAATCTCTAGATCTATCCATGTTGCTGCAAATGGCATTATTGTATTCTTTTTAATGGCTGAGTAATATTCCATTGTATAAATATACCACAACTTCTTTATCCAGTCATCTGTCAGTGGACATTTAGGTTGTTTCCATGTCTTGACTATTGTATACAGTGCTGCTATAAACATTGGGGTGCATGTATCTTTTCAAATTAGAGTTCCCTCCACATTGCTGAGGGAACCCAGGTGTGGGATTGCTGGATATGGTAAGTCTATTTTTAGTTTTTTGAGGAATCTCCAAACTGTTTACCATAATGGCTTCCTCAAACTACACTCCTACCAACAGTGTAGGAGGGTTCCCCTTTCTCCACAGCCTCTCCAGTGTTTATTGTTTGTGGGCTTTTTTTTTTTTTGGAGGAGGGGAGGTAAATAGGTTATTTATTATTTTTTTAATGGAGGTACTAGGAATTGAACCCAGGACCTTGTGCTTGCTAAGCACATACTTACCACTGAACTATATACCCTCCCCACCTCATTTGTGGACTTTTGAATTATCGCCATTCTGACTGGTGTGAGGTGATACCTCATTGTAGTTTTGATTTACATTTCTCTGATAATTAACAATATTGAGCATTTTTTCATGTGCCTATTGGCTGTTTATCATTTGTCCTATATACTTTAACTGCTGTGTTAAATTTTAAGAAATGGGGTAGGTCAGTCCACTTCATCATTATTATTTTTAAAAAAGACTAGGTTTCTGTATGTTTGAACATTTTGATAATACAGTATTGGGGAAAATGACTTGAATTTTCTTCTGCAATTATAGTTAAATTTTAAGGCAAATTGCCTAGTTCCCCCCAAGTTATCTACTATTTTGATTGATATTGACTTGAATCTACACATTTGAGGAAACTTCAAATCTTGACAACATGTTATATCTTCCCATCCAAGAACGTGGAATTTAGTTCCACTCATTAAGGATTTCTTTTACGCTATTTAATTTTTTTTTACTTTCATATTTCCAACATATCACTGACCTAGTTTATTCCTAAGATTTTTGAAGTGTTTATGCACAGTCTGTTTTAAAATTTTGCATATTTGTGTAATATCTGGGCAAATTACTAGCTTATTACTTCTAAAGTATTTCAGCTGGTTCTTTGAATGTAACACAGAAAGCAATCTAGTTTTCAAAGAGGAGTAATTTTTCTTGCCAATTTTTTGGACAAGTTAGAAAAATACTAATAACTGTGTGCCTGGGGTCATGTTAGTCTTTTCTTCCTAATGGAATGAGATTGCTTGAATGTTCACTGTCACATTAACCATGTATACTCTTGGAAAATATCTTTGTTGTTGTATTATTATTAAGTTATACTGCTCAATTCAGTCTAGGTTGACTCAAAAGTTCTATTCAAAGATTGAACTGGTTTATAGAAAGATAACTTTGGACAAAGAGTATTTGATAGGATCCGGTACAGCATAAGACCCTTGATCATCTGTTTTTCAGGAAGACCACGCTTTTACATAAACAAAAACAAACAAACCTCCCAACCAAGCAAGGATATGCAGTTTTGAATAACACAATTAGTGAGCTTAATGCACTCTTTTAAATTATTAAGTAGAGAATCTGCATTCCATGTTAAGAAATCTATTAACATAAAAGACATATTAAAATAATTTTTGAGATGAAAATAATGACTCCATTCATTTATTCATCTAATAGATATTTGTTGACTGCCTACTAGTGACGGAATGTTCTCAACCCTAGACATGGACTGAAAACAAGGTAGACAAGATCCCTACTTTCATGGCTCTCATGTTTCCATCAGAGGAAATTGTCATCCTTCAATAAAATAAGATAATCCAATGAGATAATTTCAGTTGTTATAAGTATTATGACAGATATACTAGGTGATTAAGAGAAACAAACTTTAGGGATGGATTTTTATACATGACAGTAGACTAGGGTCCCAGAAAGGAGATTTTAAAGAAATTATGGTGAGAACCATATTTCACTTGACTTGAAGAAATTCACGCATGTGTTCTGTTTCTCCCCAGGTTCTGTGGATTTGAGCAAAATCATCATACCTCAGCCCCTGAGAGAATGATTTCTGTTGACATGGCAATGGGTATGGTCATCCTCGCTCAGACTGGAATAGGGACTGTGGGGAATGTTTCACTCCTTTGTCATTACATCTGCTGTCTTTTAAGGAGGCATGGATTGAGACCATTAGAGCAAATAATCAACCATCTTGCTTTAGCCAATACTTTGACCCTTCTTTGTGGAGGAATCCCTCCGACAATAGCAGCCTTTGGATTGAAATATTTCCTAAATGATATAGGGTGTAAACTTGTCTTTTATTTTCACAGAGTGGCCTGGGGAAGTTCCCTCAGCACCACCTGTCTTTTGGGTGGCTTCCAGGCCTTAAGTATTAACCCCATGAACTCCAAGTGGGCAGAACTCAAATTCAAATCCCCGAAGTATATCAATTCTCCATGTATCCTGAGCTGGCTGTTTCATTTGCTGATAAATGTCATGGTTCCCATGAGAATGATTGGACAGAAGAACAGCAGAAATATCAGTGTGAAGTTAAATTTTGGATATTGCTCCTGTTTGTTTATGAACACAATTACAGAATCAATATGCTCAGTTATTTACTCCTGTGTTGATGTTATTTGTTTGGGACTCATGATATGGGCCAGTGGATCTATGATATTTTTTCTTCACAGGCACAAACAGCAAGTCCAATACATTCATAGCACTAGGCAACCCCCAGAAATGTCCCCAGAGGCTAGAGCCACAAAATCCATCATGATACTTGTGAGCGCTTTTGTCATATTTTATTCTCTCTCTTCTGCCTTTGAAATATACACTTACCTTTTTGACAATCCACAGTTGTGGCTTGTGAACACCAATGTGCTCCTAGCATCTTGTTTTCCAACCTTCAGTCCCTTTTTGCTCTTAAAAAGTAACACCCATGTCTCCAGCCTCTGCTTTTCCTGCTGAGGAAGTTATAGAACTTACCCAGTTACTGACAGCACTGTACAATATTCATTCATCCATTCATCTCATTCTGTGAAGTACCCTCTCTGTACCACTCGTGTTTTAGACACAGTGGTGGACAGCAAGGGTATCTGCTCCAATAAATAGGTCTGTGGGGAATCCAGACATTGGACAAACAATTACACAAATAATTATGTAATTGTAGTTGTACAGGTGCTGCAATGAGGCATTCGGAATAGTATATCTCAGGATCTTGGAAAGCTTCCCTTTGTGTCTGTGGCTTTGGCTACTTCCTGAATATTTTGGAGGAGTTCATCAGCCTTGCGGGTGTTCTTGGCAAATGGAAAGCACATTCGAACGCCATTTGCAGGAAGGAACATAGGACATACAAAGAACTGAAAGAAAGCCCGTGTGCCTCAGGTGCCAAGAAGAAGAGAATTTGGCATGAGCTGAGGTTACTGAGTTAGGGTCAGATGACAGTTTGCCGAGTTTTACAGGTTAGGTTAAGAATGTGTACCATGAATCCCAACAGTCATTTCAGGCTTTTATCAAGGAGGTAAAATGATTTAAGTTTTTTTATCAAGGAGAAAGAGAGCATTTAAAAAATTATCCAGTTTGCCTAAAAATTATGAGCATTGCTTATTGAATTGAGCAAGAGTCAACTTGAAAAAAAGAATTAGGAGACTTTTGAAGCAAACCAGATGAGAGAAGATGATGATTCTAATAAATATGATGAAAATAAACACAAAAGAAGAGCACATGGACTTGAGACACACCTCCTTAGAAGCATGCACTAAATTTAGTAACTGTGTCATAAGGGGTGGTTTAAAGCTGGTGTGGACAATGACTTACAATTCTCTTAAAACTTGAACAACTGAATTGGTTGTGGTGGTATTTCTTGATATCAAGAAACCAGGGGAGTTGTAGCTTGGGTTTAACGGTATTGCACATTCTTTTTAGCACGTGGAGTGCTGAAAAGGCATCTAAGGCATCTGCATTATGCACATGTCTAATCAGAGGTCACGCACACGTATATGTGAGTGGAACAAAGATGGAAGGTTTGCTTTGGAAATACACACTTGGCTGTCAACAACATATATTGGTAATAGGAGCTTAGGTAGGGTTGAAATAAGGGAAAGTGGAACTCGAGAGTGGTGAGCTTCATTTAAAGATCAGATGGAGAACATGCAGCTATACATTCAGTTCATTCATTCATTTTTTCATTTTATCCAGAATATTCAATGATCCCCTACTATAGGCCAGTCACTGTTATAGGCAATTTGGATATAGTAATAAATAATATTGGAAAAAAATAATGGTCCTTATGGAGCTTACATTCTACTGGGAGTGGCAGAAAATGTTAAACAGGTAACACTGTAGTATTTCAGTTCATGGTTAAGTGCTCTGCTGGAAAGTAAAAACTAAGGGATAGGAAGGCGGGGGAGCAGGAATGCCTCAGCTGGTTTGGTTTTAAATAATCTGGTCAGGAGATCCCTCCCTGAAACTGTGATATTTGAAGAGTCTAGAATGACTTGAGGGAGGAATGAAGGCACAGAGCTGGTGGCAAGAATGTAGAGGGTAGAGAGGACAAGTAGAGGAAAGACAGAGAAAGGAGCATTACTTGTGTGTTAGGTGACCAGTATGGCTGCAGGGAGACACAGGGAGGAGCAAGTAGTAGGAGTTAAAAGTGTCAGCTTATATGAAGTGTTGTAGGCAGTGTCACTATTTTGACTTTCATCCCAAAAGAGAAAGGGAACCACTAGAGGTCTTTGAGCAGATGAATGACATGATCAGATTTATTTTTTTGGAACAAATGATGGTGATAGTGTTATACTGTATCAATTTAGCTAAGCTGGAACCATGTTTCCAAGAACTTCCCTCCTGAATGGTTTTGGGTTAGGGCTGGCGGAGGTGACATTGGCGCCATATTTAGAAGTTGGCAGAGAAGCAGTAGCCATATGCTCTGAAGGGCAGTGCGGGCCCCGGGCTCCAGGCGGCTGCTCCTCTGCTGACTCGCCCCACTGGCTCCTGCCCGGTGTCCTCCTTCAGCTCCTAGTGCTGGGCCAGGTGTGTGTGCAGTCCACGACAGAGTGCCAGCTTCTGCAGGTCCCTCACGTGGTAGATATCTGAGGTAGATCAATTAGATGTATGGAAACTATGTAAGCCACAATAGAAGAATCATAGGGTATTTCCCTGTGGTTGTGGGGTAAATCCATGTGACCGTAAGTGCATAACTTTCATAATTTCAAGAACAACTACTTGGTTCGTTGAAACTAAAAGTCAGACTCTGGGATATTAAAATTTCTTAAATAGCAATTTGTAGTCATTGTTTCCACATGTCACTTACTAGACTCTCTTCATGCTCTTATAATTGAGCATTCTTCCTCCTCATTCCACTAAAATAACGCTTAAAAATTTTTTTTCATTGTGGTTTTTATTTTTGGAGGGGCAGGTAATGAGATTTATTGATTGATTTATATTTGATGAAGGTACTGGGGACTGAATTTAGGACTTTGTATGTGCTAGGCACACACCCCACCACTGAGCTCTACCTTCCCCTAAAATTGCTCTTAAGAAATCATCAGTGACTGCTGTGTTTGCGGATACTATCTGCAGATCTCAGGCCTCGCATTATTTACTGTTGAAGCAAAATGACACAATTGGCAACTCTTTGATTCTTGATACACTTTATTTTCATAGTTTCTAAATTGCCACCTTCTCTGGGTTCTTTCCTGCCCCAGTGGTGGCTATTTCCCATTGTACTTTGCTACCCACTCCTTCTGAGCTGGATCTGTTAACTCTGTACTATACCAGGGACTGTTCTCCTCTCCTGTAGCTTCATATTCTCTTTATGTGTGCACATCTGGTTATTTGGCTTTAAAAAATATCCAAATCATTCCCATATGTAAATGACTTTTACAACACTTGCAGTAATCTTTCTCTTCAGCGTAATACTTGCTATTCACTGGATATCTGATGGGATTTCTAATTTTTAACAAATTTTTATATATTTTTTTATTTTGGGAGGGAGGTGACTATGTTTTTATGTATTTGTTTATCTTTAATGGAAGTACTGGGGATTGAACCCAGGACCTTGAGCATGCTAGGCATGCACTCTACCACTGAGCTATACCCTCCTCCAGATGTCTAATAGTAATGTATCTAAAAATGAATTATTTTTTTCTACTAGCCTCACCTATTTTCTCTTTCTCCTGTATCTCAGCAAATGACACTAGGAGGCCATACATTTTTCCAATAAATCCCTTAGAAATCAGTCTTGATTACTTCTTATGTGAGTGAAGGTCTTAAAGGATTGCTGAGAATTTGACAAAATGACAATATACAAATGTGTGGACAGGTTAAGGTGAAACAATAAAGCATAGTATGGTTTTCTGAGGCTCCCAATCATGAGGGAACCATTATAGTGTCCAAGCTTGAAAAGGCAAGGCAAGGAGCAGTTACTGGACCCAGAGGAAATAGGGATCCTCAAATAAGATGTATGACCTTTGGTGGGGGGTCAAAGCCAACTTTGATAAGGTAGGAAGGGAGCCAGGGAATATATACAATCCAGTTTCACTCTTCCTGCTCTCTGGTCTTAAACTGCTCCAGCCTATTGATGGAGCCCATAATGATTAGCCTTGAAGGCAAAGAGCAAGGCAGAGATGGGTGGAGAGTAGATCTGGAGGGACACATGGAAAATACACATTTCAGTGATCTTTTCTTTCTTTTACAATCCAGTTTATTCACTAGTGCCTTTGGCTTTATTTATAAAATATGACCTTTCTTATATCAGTTTCTCTATATCTGTTACTTCCACATTAGTCTAACCCATTATTTTTGCCCTGAATTACTGTGATATCTTCCTAATGAATTTTCATTTTCTAATTCTGGCCAGCTTTCAATTCTTTCATGTCAAAGAACCTAAGTTTCATATTATAAGTTACAGGCTATGAAAAATATTCCTAGTTAGAATTCAGTTTCCAAATCTCATGAGACTGGAAAATGATCATCCCATCAAGCCTAAACAAACTAGAAGGAAAGAAATAATAAAGAGCAGAAATCAGTGAAATAGAAAAAATGTGCAAGAGAAAAACCAAGTTAAAAATCTTGTTATTTATGAAACTGATTAGTCCAACAAAAAGAATGAAAACACAAATTAGAAATATCAAGAATGAAAAATGAAGCATTAACACATATTACACAGATATTACAAACATAATTTATAAAACATAAATTAGCTACTATGAAAAATGTGAAGGTGAAAACAACCACACAAAATTTATGGGATGTAGCAAAGGCAGTGCTAAGAGGGAAGTTTATAGCGATACAGGCCTTCATCAGAAAAGAACAATCTCAAGTAAACAATCTAACCCACCAGCTAAAAGAATTAGAAAAAGAAGAGCAAAAATACCTAAAAGTCAGCAGAAGGAAGGAAATTGTAAAGATCAGGGAGGAAATAAATAAAATAGAGATTTTTAAAAAATAGAAAAAATCAATCAAACCAAAAGCTGGTTTTTTGAAAGGGTAAATAAAATCGACAAACCTCTGGCCAAAATCACAAAGAAGAAAAAAGCGAGGGCACAAATAAGCAAAATAAGAAAGGAAAATGGAGAAGTTACAACAAATAACATAGGAATACAGAATATTATATGAG